CCCGGTACCCACTTTACAGACTGTCAACCGTATCCCTAACTATCCCAAACTACCAATCCAGATGGCCCGGAAGGGATTTTTCCCTGGTATCTGCAACTAAGCAGATCCTTTTCCTCCGGTTCCGACAGACTCGGTCCCGGCGGCCTGGTTGGTGGGGTGCCTTCTATATTTTTTTTGTTTTAAATAAATTTTATATCTTTTGCTATTAAAAGTTAATAAAAATCTAATAATTGTAATAATAGAATTAATAAAATAAATAATAATAATAATTTTTAGATATTAATTATAGGATTCCATGATTGTCGTGTATAGTATTTTTTTAAAAAATAAGAATTGATTGGTGTTTCTAATATCTGTTCTTCTATAGTACGAAGTTTGTATACATCTGGTACTATTCATTGATGAATAAAGTAAGGTTCTTTTTATTTTGGTAAGAATTTTCTGATAAAACTCTTATCTCTAGCAGCATCATAGCACAAAACTTGTTCTTTTTTGAACAGTTTTCTTACTTTCTTTATCTTGCTGTCCTAGTAGAACTTTTGTCATTGTTGTGATCTATTGATATTGTTTTTAGCTTCCTCTCTTTTAGAGAGCAGATCTTCTACAAGAGTATATAATCTTGTCAAGAGAGTTTTTTCTAATATTTCTTGAGATTCAGAAATAGGTAATTTTGGTTCTCTTCTATATGCAAGAAAGAAGGGTATAAACTTTGTTGTTACATGTTTTGAGCTTCTGTAAGAGAACAGAACAGAAGATATCAATTTTTTCTTTCTTTATCTTCATCAGATAGTTTAGCTAAAAATTCACATAAGGTTCTATTGAATCATTCTACTAATCCATTAGTTTGTGGATAATAAGGAGTTGTAAATAAATATTTGATTTGAAATTTTTCTGCTAATGCTTTGATCAATGTATTGTCAAAGTGTTTTCCTTGATCAGAAAGTAGAAAGTTAGAACATCCATGTTTACAAATAATATCTTTGTATAAGAAGTTAGCAGTTTGTTATGCAGTAGCTTCAGGTACGGCTTTTGCTTTAGGGTATTTGGTCATATAATCTATAGTAATTATTATATATTTATTGTCTTGAGAGGTGAGAGAAAGTGGTTCTACAAAATCAATACCAATTTTGTCAAAAGGTGTCTCTACTTTAATCGGATAGAGAGGTCCTTTTTGTCGATATTTTTTTCTTTTCTGATAACTATCACAGAATTTCACATAGTTTTGAATATGTTCATACATTTGAGACCAATAGTATTGTTTTTTGATTTCGTCAAACATTTTGTTAGTCTCAAGATGTGCTTCTATAGGATGGTTGTGCATGAGGTATAGAATAGCTTTGATTTCATACTTTTGTACAATTTTTAGCAATGTATTAGCAATGCTTTTTCTTATAAATCTCTTGTAAAGTTGATTATTTTTAATAAAGTAATATTAACTTTTTCTTTTTAATTGTTCTTTTTGTATTTTGTAAAATTAGAAGAATATTTAGCAGTTTCAAGATAAGTTTTAATATTTTGATAGTGTTTGGGTTCTATTTTTGTTATATTTTTGCTAGAATACCAATGACCTAGACTGGATTGTTATTATTGTCAGGTTTTTACTAGTATAATAGATTTTTAATATTAAATATTGGATTCAGGTATTGTTTATCACACAGAATTACAAAAATAAGTAGATAAAAGGTTGTTATATTCTTGTAGTTGTTATTGAGTAGGTGTTTCTAATAAGGAAAGCCACCAAGAGATATTGTTTAAGACGTAATAATTGTTTTGGATAATGTAATTATTCACTTGAGTGTGAGGTTCAGAAAATTGATCAAATTAAGAATAGGATTTTTCTTGTATTTCTTGATAAGTATTATCACTAGTTTTTTGAGATTAAATAGGTTGGTCACCCTATTTATTGTCAGGAGTACTTCAATAACTTAAGCCAATAACTTCAATAAGATATTGTTTAATTGTATTCCACAATTTTAATTCAAGATAGTATTGGATATATTCGTCTTCTGGACTGTAGAGTTTAAGTTCACACCAACATTGAGTATATAGGCCTTTCCAATTTTTAGCAAGACCTTTCTTATTCTTGGCATTAACTTGTTTGCTTATATATTCAATATAATACCAGGTACAAAATTGTCCATCATATTGAATTCTTTCATGAGAGAATACTACATAGTTATATAATAGAAGTTTACTAGTTATATTAGAAGAGAGGTTATCATCTAAGATTTTTCTTACAATTTCTAGATCTTTTTCAGTTTGGGCTCCTTTCTGAGATTCAGACTCATTAGCAATATTTATTATTTCAGAATTAGACATAATATCACTCTATGGGTTTTCCAAGTAGGAGTCAGCTTCTTAAGAGAAAGTTTCATAAGTATCATAATAACTTTTTTCAGTACTGGAATCTTTTTCATATCCTAGATAAAAGATTTCAACTTCATCATCGAGAGTAATAGAGTCTCCTGCCAGAGCAGCTTCTAAGGCTTCTTGCTCGGTTGGTAAGTCAATCAGATTATCTAAAAGGTGGTCTTTTTCATACATCCTGGATAAAGAATCAGCATTATTATGTTTTTTTTCTGCTCTATGAATTATAGTAAAGTTATAAGGTTCTAGTCGCATAATCTATCTTGCTCTTTTTTCTACTAGTTTGGTAGTTCTTAACCATTTCAAGGCAGCATGATCAGTGATTAGATAGAAGTGGTTTTCTTCTATATACTGGTAGAAATATTTAACTGTCTATACAACAGCAAAGCATTCCAATTCTGTAGCAGAGTAGTTTTGTTCTGCTCTTGAAAGACTTCTACTAGCATATACAATTACATGCCTTTTTTATTTTCATCAAGTTGGGCTAATACAGCTCCAAGACCAGTTTGTGAACCATCAGTATGAATATAGAATGGTTTATTAAAGTTAGGATATTGTAAGATTAGTGCAGTAATAAGGCATTCTTTTAAGGTTTGGAAGGCTTTTTCTTGTTTTTCTCCCCAATAGTATGGTTGGTCCTTTTGTAAAAGAATATTCAAAGGTTTGGCAATTATAGAAAATTCTTTTATAAATTTTCTATAATATAAAGCTAGTCTAAGAAAACCTCTAATTTGACGAATGGTAGTAGGTGTTAGAAAGTTTCTAACCTTTTCAATCTTTTCTTCATCAGGTTTTACTCCATCTTTTCCTATAATATGTCCTAAAAATTTAAGTTCATTTAAAAAGAAAGAGCATTTTTCAATATTTAATTTAAGGTTAGCTTCTGCAAGCTTATCAAAAACTAGTTGTAAGTGAGAACAATATTCTTTGAATATTTTTGAATAAATAGTAATATCATCTAAATATACAACTAAAAACTTATTAATAAATGGACGTAAAATTTTATCCATTAGATATGAAAGATAGCTAGTACATTGTATAAACCAAAAAGTATAACATTAAACTCATATGTTCCATGCCAAGTAATAAATACTATTTTCTTTTTATCTTTTTCTTGTACAGCAACTTGCTAATATCTACTGGCCAGATCCAAGCTTGTAAACCATTAAGCTCCTTCAAAGACAGATAGAATTTTGTTAATATCAGAAAGAAGATATACATCTTTTGTTGTTATTGCATTTAACTTTCGGTAATCAATACAAATTCGGCATTTTCTATTCTTTTTAGATACAATAACTACTGGTAAGGACCATGGGCTATTTGATTCTTGAATAATTTCATATTTTTCTATTTCTTTAATTTCTTTTTTCAAGAATTCTAAATTGTCTAGTGATGCTTTATATGCTTGTTGTTTAATTGGTTTAGTACCAGGAGTGTTAATTTCATGGCAAACTTCTTTGGTTTGTCCCAGTTCCAAGGTTTGTCCTTCTTTAAAAATATTTTTAGCAAAGATTTGATGGTTATTTAGAAGAATTTCTTTAGCTTCTTCTCTTTGTTGTCTATTCAAAGAAGTATTAACAGTTAAAAGAGGAGTTGTAGGAACTTCAGTAGTTAAAACAACATATACTGCAGAGTTGTTGTCAATAACAACATCAGTCCAAGAGTTGTAGAATAAGGGTCATCATCTTGGTCTCCTTTTTCAGTATGATAAGTTTTTGCTTCATCTTGTTCTTCGATTTTATCGATCCATTCATCCTCATCTGTGAATTCTTCAAATTCATCAGGTATTGGCTCTCTACTAACATGGGTTGTATAGATAGTAGCTCTTTTTTCCAAGTATTTAATCTTTAAAGTATGGTTGTCAAAGTCTAAAGTGGCTCTGGATTTTGTAAACCAATCCGTTCCTAACAAGAGAGTTTCATCTTTGGACTTAATTACTTGCAAGTCATTAGGGATTGTAATATTTTGGAATGCAATATTAACATCACTAATTGATCCTAGAGCTTTTTTTCTAGCCCCATTGGTAGTTATTTATTTATTTTTTTTTTGGTGTTAAGGTGGCCTCTTGGCCGGCTTCTTTTATTCGGTTATAGTTAACTTTTACAATATGCGTTT